ATGGAGGCGGACACCATGGCTGGGGCCACACAGTTTCCATGGCCCCATGGCCCCCTGGGACCCGCACGTGCTTCGGGCCACGAGATCCGTGGCCCTTGTGCTGGGCGCCCCCGAGAGGCGGGATCGGGTCGGACGAACCCTGAGATTCAGTCGATCGCAAACTTTGATCAAGGGGGCGTGAATCATCGGCGGGTCCCGTTTCCATGGGAAATCGTGGATTTCCGCCGCCGAACGAGGTGGCGCCGGCCGCGTTTTGGAGAGGGTACCTCCCCCGGGCGACCGCGCGCCAAATCCATGGATCGCTAACGCTAGGTTTCGCGCCCCCGAGAGAGGCGCGATCGGGTCGGACGAACCCTGAGATGTGGGCTTGGCAGTTTTTGTCACACGGGGCGTCTTCGCCTTGTGTCTAGGCTTCGTCTGCTGCATCGAAGCATCGAGACCTGGGGCAGCTACAGAGCTCTGCGCGGTCCCCGGCGGTAGCCAGGCTGTTGGCTTGCCGCAGGCGCTCAGTTTTTGTCACACGGGGCGTTTTCGCCATGGACCAGGTGTTGGGCCGTGGACCCTCACGCATCCATCCAGCTCGAGGAGAGCCGCAGACAGGCGGGGTCAAAGGGCTCCTGTCGCGCCGTCCAGCGACGCTCTTCCGGCATGTCGCGACGTAGGATCCTGGGGGAGGCAGGACCGTGTCGGACGAAGGGGGGGGGGGATTGACAAAAATCCGAGGCCCAAAAACCATCACGTCACTACTTTTGTGCCCCAGGGCCCACTGAGGCCCCAGGGGCCCCAGATTAGTGAAGTGATGTTTTTTTCCCACGTAAGGACCACGAAATTCATCACCTCACTAAACCGAGCCCAGGACGAAAGTCAGGGGCCGAATTGCTGCTGTGATGCAACATAGGTATCGTAAAAAAGGGAGGGTGCGACAGCTGTTCCGCGCAGCTGGCTTCGGCCCCGCCGCCGGGCGCCTCGATACGTTGGCGCCCCTGGCACCGGGGCGCGCCGGGAAGACCAGCTGCGGGAGCTGATCCGCGGACCCCCTTCTGTCGTACCCCTGCCCGACTGTCCGACCGGGCAGGGGGCCGGGGAAGGCAGCAGCGAGTTTTTGTGACCCCTGTGAGGGGCCTCGTCAGACTCGGTCCCACTGTTTCGCCGTTTCTGCAGCATGCCCAGCCTGGCCGCCCCCGAAGTGGAGCCGCCCGCTCGGTGGAGGATTGAGGCTTGTGGCGGCTTCTTGGCAGTGTTGGACCACCGAGGGCGCCCTCGCAGCCGCTGTTGGATCCGCTTCGAGCTTCTGGCCAGACCGCCCCCCTGGACAGGTCCAGGGGGACCTTCATATTCGACGTTCAACAAACTGCGGCGGTCCGTTTCTCTTCTCTTCTTCTCCTCCTCCTCCTCCTCCTCGGCCGCCGCCGCCGCCGCCTCCTCCTCCTCCTCCTCCTCCTCCTCCTCCTCCACCTCTCCTCCTCCTCGGCCGCCGCCTCCGCCTCCTCCTCTCCTCCTCCTCCTCCTCCTCCTCCTCCTCCTCCTCCTCCTCCTCCTCCTCCTCCTCCTCCTCCCCCTCTTCTCCCTTCTCTTCTCCTCCTCCTCCTCCGCCTCCTCCGCCTCCTCCTCCTCCTCCTTCTCCCCCCGAGCGGGTGGTCCAGAGCCACGGGGTACCCAGGGGCAGGCGGGAGGGAGGATGGGGGATGGTAGGTGAAGGCTTGCCGAAGTTATTGTATTTTATGGGCCTCCAGAGGCTTCCAAAAACTCTCGATGACCTCCACGTCCACGTCCACGTCTCCGACCAGATCTTCAAGACATGGGCGTGCGCACCAATGAAATGGAACCGTTCTCTGTCCGCGCACCGCCCTTTGGAGGTCGCTCGCAGGACGCCGAGGCGGCGAGGTCCGGGGTCGCGCCCAGTGCCGTTGGAGCCCTCAGAACGACCAGAGTGGGCCCAGAACATGGCGCTGCGGTGGGGCGAATTGCGGGAGGCCGATGACTTCGCTGACACGGCCCACAGACGCCTTCTGCTGCTCAAGAGGGCAATTGCGAGCGTCAGCCTGGAGATGAACACGTCCGCGCAGCACGCGGCAGCAGCGACGGCCTCGGACCGCCTTGGCTGCGCCATCCGCTGTCTACGAGCGGTAGAGGAGGGCAGATGGCTGGCCGCGCAGCGGGCGGTCGACGAGTTCCCAGAGCTCATCGACCAACACAGGCTGCAGGCTGCTTTCGCCGGCAACGGGGAGGCCCAGCGGGCGCTCAGGGACAGGGCGGTGCAGCTGGACAAGGAAGACATCCACCAGGAACTCCGCGACCTCGAGTCGGCGTCGCCAGGGCTGCCCCCGGAAGTCGCGGCGGCGCGTCGCGAGACGGTGGCTGACAAGATTCGGCGCCTGAAGCCCGGGTCTGGGTCGCACCTGACCGCAATCAAGGGGCCTGACGGGAACGTGTCAACAGATCCAGAAGCAATCGCGCAGGAATTGGCCAGGCACTGGAGCGGCGTCTTCGCGGAGAGGGGCGTTGATGACGCCAGGCTGACAGCGTGGCTTCAGGAGAGCGGCGCCCGCGGCGACACAAGCTTGCCATCCCATCCCGGCCAGTGGAGTGTCCGGCGGCAGGACGTCCACACCGCGCTGCAGCAGGCGCGGGCCACGTCGCCGGGGCCAGACGGCATCAGCGCCATCCTTTGGAGACGTCTGGGCGCGTTGGCAGAAGATGTGCTTTTTGATGCAGCCTGCTCGTTGTCATCCTCGTCAGCACCAGCCGACCTGCAGGCAGCGTACGCAGACGAACTCGACGATCACGCCGGCGCAAGAGAGCACAGTTTTAACCTCGGGCTCCTCTGCTGCGTTCCGAAGAAGGCGGTGGAGCTCCACCCGACTTTCGGGGAAGTCTACACAGCCGAAGGAACTCGTCCGCTATCTCTCGTCGACACATCGAACAGAATCATGGCTGGCGCCTACAAGCAACGATGGGAGGGCCCCCTTGGGCAATGGGTCTCCTCGGTGCAGAGGGGGTTCCTACCTTGGCGCTCAATGCTGGCCAACGTGGTGGAGCTGGAGCACGACGCCATGCTGACGGCGACCCAGAAGCAGCGCGGCATGATCCTCCTGGTGGACTTCAAGGCTGCCTTCCCCTCGGTATCTCACCGCTTCCTGCGCAGGTGCCTGGAAGGCTTTGGCATGCCTGGTGAGGCCCTGCGGGTCCTGGACGCGCTATACGACCAGGGGCGGTGTAAGGTTGCAGTTGGCGGCGCCCGATGGCCCGGGTTTTCTTTGCGCTCCGGCATAAGACAAGGATGCCCGCTATCGCCGCAAGTGTTCGCGACCGCCATGGACCTGTTGCTCCGGGTGCTGACCTCCCGCCTCGGGCCCGCGGCGACGATTCGAGCTTTTGCGGACGACGTCGGTATTATCTTGACAGACATCGAGACGCAGTTGCCCATCTTGGAACTGGCGCTCCGCGAGTTCGGCCAGCTGTCCGGCATGGAGGTGGACCTGCCCAAGACAGTCGGCATCCCGCTATGGGGCGGCACGATGGAGGAGGCCGCAGCAACTGTCGCCCAGGCGTGCCCTTCATGGAGCCAACTTCCGCTGAGACGGGCCGCCGTGTATCTCGGATGCGCAGTCGGGCCGGGCAAGGGGGACGTCATGTGGAGCACTGCCTTGAATAAGTTTCGAGAACGTGTGGGTGGATGGCAATGGAGCGACATGGGGCTGCACTTCGCGGCGGCCGCCTACAACTCCTACGCGCTTCCAGTCCTGTCGTTCCTCGTGCAAGTGGCGGCGCCAACTGATGACGTGCTGGCAGCTGAGTCGTGGGCACTGCGGAGGGCCGCGCCGGGGCCCGGCAACTGGGCGATGCCCGAAGACCACTGGGGCTTGAAGGAGAATTACGGAATGCCGCGATCTTTCGGCTCCCTGCAAGACTTGACGAAAGCAGCCCAGCTCCGGGTCTTCCACTGCGAGAACTCGGCCCACGGAGGGCTGCAGCTCGAGGTGAGAGCTGCGCAGCTCCGCACAGCGGCGGCGCTCTCGCGGTTCCCGGAGCGCTTCCTGCTATGGGCAACGTGGTTTTCGACAGCCATCCCGGCCGCACTGTGTCGGAACGCCGACGAGCTGCGGGCCCAGAGCATCACGACAGCCAAGGTCGAGGCAGCTGCAGCAGAGGGCGGACGGACGTTCCAAGCGGCCGCGCGCGAGCTGATCGCAGCGAAGGCGCGGAGAGATCCGCATTTCCGGATTCGCCACAAATTCGAGAGGTGGCAGCTGCCTGGGGCGCCGCGGACAGCGGCGACCCGCTTCGAACACAACCTTCAAAGACTGCGCGGACTGGTCCCTCCCCGAGTGGTTGCTGCAGTGTTCAGCACTGGGTGGAACAGATGGTGCACAGCACGACGTTTCCAACGACGAGCGGCAACCAGCAACTTCTGCAAGCTGGGCTGCGGCGGCGTGGCAGAGGACAGCATCGAACACTACACGCGCTGCCGCGCCGTGCGCCGCTTCCACGCCACGTCCATGCGCATCGACGCAGATTGGTTATTGCCGCACTGGCTGGTTGTGCACCACACGCAGCGCAGCGACGTGGACTTGGTGCTCGGCGCGCTCAGGGCCTACGCAGTGTACAGAGCTACCAATGCCGCGCGGGCGCTCGGCGGTATGACCGCCGAGGGCGCCGCGAGGGCTCTGCAGCAGGCCCTGCGGGACGCGGTGGCTGGACACCGCGGCGCGGAGCGCGTGCTCCGAGGCGTGTGGACGTGAGCTGCACGGCGGCTCCGCGGACGGCGCCCCTGCCGCACGGCGTCTGTGGTAGGCAACTGTTCGCCCCACCTCTCTCCTTTCCTCCTCCTCCTCCTCCGTGTTGTGGTGACCGAGCTTCCCCCCGGATTCTGTGACAATGCCCGGGAAGTCGCGGCATCTGTGTTCCTCTCCGAGATTTTTTCATTTGAGCCCCACGGCCAGTTTGTCCGTCCACCGCCCCCCCCGGGGGCCCCACGCCTTGGGGGGCCGGGGGCCTGTCTCTCCCTCCGCTCCTTCCCTTCCCCTCCCCTCCTCTGCTGCTGGTGCGGTTGCTGCTGTGGCCTCCTCCCTCTTCCCCCCTCCCCCGCCGCCGCCGGCGTCGTCGTCGTCGTCGTCGTCGTCGTCGTCGTCCTCGTCGTCGCCGTCGTCGTCGCCGTCGCCGTCGCCGTCGCCGTCGTCGTCGTTCAGAGTCGTCGTCGTCGTCGTCGTCGTCGTCGTCGTCGTCGTCGTCGTCGTCGTCCGTCGTCGTCGTCGTCGTCGTCGTCGTCGTCGTCGTCGTCGTCGTCGTCGTCGTCGTCGTCGTCGTCTCGTCGTCGCCGTCGTCGTCGTCGTCGCCGTCGTCTTGGGGCGGCCCCCGGCCTTCCTGGGGCTTGTGGCCCCCCTGTGGGGGAGTGGTCTCCGAGGCAGTGGTCTCCGAGGCAGTGGTTCTGAGCCCACTTACGGGGCAGCTTGTTTGTATATATCCGGGCTGCCATTGACTTTTCGGTAGTGTTTTTTTTGATGGGTGCGCTCCCGAATCGGCCTGCAGCGTTGGGAGGCCACGCAGAGTGGGCGATCCGCCGACGGGCAGTCAGCGAGCAGAGCCTCTGGCCACATAGCTGCGGCCAGATTTCGGTTTCGATCGCGAGACTGATCTCGGTGGTGGGCTCCCCTCTCCGTCCTCCTCCTTTCGCCCTCCCTTTCCCTCCGTCTGGTGGTGCCGATCTGTTGGTCGCAGCCTGCAGGTCCATCCGCGGATGCGGAGGCCCCAGGCGCTCGACTCGTGCGTGCAGTCTCCCTTCCTCCCTCGCTTCCTCCGTCCTCCGCCTCCTCGCCCTCCCTCTCCATCCGTTTGGTGTTGCCGATCTGTTGGTCGCAGCCTGCAGGTCCATCCGCGGCTGTGGAGGCCCCAGGCGCTCGACTCGAGCGTGCAGTCTCCCTCCTTCCCCCGCTTCCTCCGTCCTCCGCCTCCTCGCCCTTCCTCTCCCTCCGAAAGGCTGTGCCGACCTGCTGGTCGGGGCCTGCAGGTCCATCCGCGGCTGTGGAGGCCCCAGGCGCTCGCCTCGAGCGTGCAGTCCCCCTCGCCTCCTCCTCCTCCTCCTCCTCCTCCTCCTCTTCCTCCTCCTCCCTGGAAGCTGTTTGCACGTGCATGTCCTAGCTCTGCTCATGTTTTTCTCGCTGGAGTCTATTTCTCGGCCTCCAGGCGTCGGCCTCCTCGTCGACCGGCGGGCAGGTTGTCTGAGGCGCTGGTGTCCCGCCAGGGGAGCTTCGCTGGCCTGCCAGGCGCTTCGCCCCTCGGAGTCCTGCGCTCCGTCGGCCCTCGACCCCATCGTTGGGGTGACAGCAGGCCTGGCGCGCAGCCTTACCATGTGAGCTATCTTCGCAACTCCGGTAGTTTGTGCTCGCCAGTTGTATGCTACGCCGGCCCTCAGGGTTTGGTGCCTCTGTCTTGGCATTGAGGCTCTCAGAGCACGTGTCTTCTTATCCGCTCGCGTTGGGCTCCAGTGCGGGTCCCGCCTGCATGATTCATGTTTCCGGTAAAGGGTACGCACGCGCGTGTTTCACTCTGTCATCTCTGCTCATGCCTTGCCTTCCTCCATTTTGTGCGCGGCACTCCGTGGCACATTATGGCCGCGACCACCTGAACGCATCGGCTTGCGAGGGGCTCTGCAGTCCACCTCCGTATTTTCTGCGCGTTTCATCTCGGCATGCTCACGCTTTCGCCAGTAGCTGCAGGCTGAGCGGTTGGGTTGGAGCCCCAGTCTGGCACCGAGAGGACTCACGTGGTGGTGCGATGCTCATCGATGGTCCGCGCTTATAAAAAAAGAAAGTTCCAGCGATCTGGAGACCTGCAAGGAGGAATGAGTGATGATGATGATGATGCTGATGATGATGATGATGATGATGCTGATAATTATGATGCTGCTGCTGCTGATGATGCTGATGGTGATGCTGATGCTGATGCTGACGAGTATGAGTATGATGATGCTGATGACGATGATGAGGATGATGATGATGATGGTGATGATGATGATGATGATGATGATGATGATGATGATGATGATGATGATGATGATGATGATGATGATGATGATGATGCTGCTGATGCTGGTGCTGATGCTGATGCTTATGATGATGGTGAGGAGGACGAGCAGGAGGAGGAGGATGAGGAGGAAGAGCAGTTCGGCTCGGTTCGACTCTTCAAGAGAGTGCTCAACAAGTGAACACAAGCCTGGGTGCGGTGCATTCAACGAATGCGACACCCCCAAACGCCCTCACGTCTGGCTCAGCCTCCCATCAGGCACACGAAGCCGAGGGGAAGGCCATTGAACAGACCAGCGTATAATGGGCACAAGGTTCGAGCGTACACCAACACAAACAAACATAGACGTTTGCAAAACACCCGATGAGGCTCCAGGCGTTCGCGCTCGGCACCTCTGTAGCGACGGAACAACCCCAAGCCTTCGATCCCAGCGCGGGCTTGCACCAGGGTGGGACTGGGACTCCCAGGGTAAGAAGGGAAAGGAGAGCAGGAGAAGGAGGAGCAGGAGGAGGAGGACGAGGACGAGGAGGAGGAGGACCAGAGTAAATCCAAGGGTCACCAGCGATGTTGGAATACACCCTCCCCCCCAAGCTCCCTCTTCACAGGCCCCTACAACGGTTCATTTCCACAGAGGGACCTGCCTCGTTGGAAGACAAGCGTTTGAAGACCCTGAAGCATGCCAAAACATTATTCTCGGTATTCCAACGCCACGGATGAACCTGACTGTTACGTCTTGACGATCTTGAACGGTGCCAGAACGCCATTCTTGGGACCTCAACTCCGGAAATCATCGTAATTGTTGCGCCCTCAAAATCGTGAATCTTTTCAAGACGCAGTTTCTGGTACATCGATCATGGGAACCCGTGAAACCCTTACATTTGTTTGGAACAAGAATGTGCGCGGCGCTACGGCTGGAGCCACACGTTGAACAGGAGTCGCCCTAAATCCGTGAAGCCCTTACATGTTGTAACAGGAAAGTGCGCGGCGCTGAGGCGAGAGCCACATTTTGATAGGGACTGCTCTCAATCCGAGAAACTCTTGCAAATGTTTAAATCGAATGCGCGCGGCGCTAAGGCCAGAGCCACATGTTGAACAAGACCCGCCCTCAATCCGTGAAGCTCTTGCAGACTTTGAAAAATAATGTGCACGGCGCTGAGGCGAGATCCACATTTTGATAAGGGGCCGCTCTCAACCCGTGAAGCTTTTGTACATTTTGAAAGCACATGTGCGCGGCGCTGCGGCGAGAGCCACATTTTGAAAACGACCCGCCCTCAGTCCGTGAAACTCTTGCAATTTTTGAAAACCAATGTGTGCGGCGCTACGGCGAGAACCACATTTTGAAAACGAGCCGCCCTCAGTCCGTGAAACTCTTGCAAATTTTGAAAATGTGCGCGGCGCTGAGGCGAGAGCCTTTTTCTGAAAACCACCCGCCCTCCATATGTGAAGCTGTTGTCAACGTCTAAGCTTCAGGGTCATAAGTGGTGAGAAAGTCTCAGGCGAAACGCCCGGCCCGCTCTAAAGATTGGCTTTGGGGTGCCACAAGGAGAAATTACTTGTAATGAGTAGGAATGCAGGAGGAGGCGGAGGAGGAGGAGGAGGAGGAGGAGGAGGACCAGTGTAAACCCAATAGCCGTCAATGATGTTGGAATGAACCCTTCCTCCAAGCTCCCTCTTCACAGGCTCCTTCAACAGTTCATTTCCATTGATGGAACTGCCTCGTTGGAAGACATCCGTTGGAAGTCCTTGAGGCAGGCCAACACAGTATTCTCGGTATTCCAACGCCACGGATGATCCGGACTGTTGCGTCTTGACGATCTGGAATCGCGCCAGAACGCCATTTTTGGGGCTTCAACACCGCGAATCAACATAACTGTTGCGCCCGCATAATCCGGAGTCCTTCCACAACACCAGTTCTGGTACGTTGATGATGGAAGTCCGTAGAACTTTTTGCAACAATTACAAACGAATGAGCTCGGCGCTACGGCGAGAGCCACATATTGAAAAGGAGCCGCCCTTAATCGGTAAAGCTCTTGCGTATGTTTAAAACGAGTGTACGCGGCGCTAAGGCGAGATCCACGTTTCGAGAACGACCCGCTTTCCATCCGTGAAGCTCTTGCATAAATCCGTGAAGCTCTTGCACATGTTTAAAACGAGTATGCGCGGCGCGAATGCGAGAGCCACATTTTGAAAACGGCCCGCCCTCAATCCGTGAAGCTCTTGCATCAATCCGTGAAATTATTGCACATGTTTGAAACGAGTGTGCGTGGCGCTAATGTGAGAACCACACTTTGAAAACCACCCGCCTTCAATCCGTGAAACTCTTGCACATGTTTAAAACGAGTATGCGTGGCGCTAAGGCGAGAACCACATTTTGAAAACCACCCAGCCCGCCCTCCATCTGGGAAGCTGCTATTTTTCTTAAGCTTCAGAGTCATAAGTGGTGAGGAAGTCTCAGGCGAAACGCCTGGCCCGCCCTAAAAACTGGCCTCGGGGTGCGACAGGGAGAAGTTATTTATCAGGAAAAGGAGTGGAGGAGGAGGAGGAGGAGGAGGAGGAGGAGGAGGAGGAGGAGGAGGAGGACGAGGATGACGAGAAGGAGAAGGAAGATGATGATGATGAGGAGGAGGCGGAGGATGATGAGGAGGAGGACAAGAAGGGCGAGGAGGAGGAGGAAGATGAGGAGGAGAAGGAGGAGGAACAAGAGGAATAACAGAGGAGGAGGAGGAGGAGGAGGAGGAGGAGGAGGAAGAAGATGATGAGGAGGAGGCGAGGAAAATCATGAGGGGAGGGGACAACAAATAGGGGAGGGGACCCTCCCCTGAGGGAGGCGCTTCCCAGACCCCGCGGGCGCAGGTCGAAACGCCGGCCGGCTTGCTTTGTCACCATGCCGCAGCCGCCGTGGCCCAGTTTTCGGGCTTACCGATGTCGGCCAGGTCTGGGGCCCCACATAGAGGCCCCGCCCCCCCGCGGCTCCCTCTGTCCACGTCCGCGCTCCTCCCGCTGCCGAGCGTGCCCTTCTCAGGCCCCGCAGCGCCCCTCGGCCACGCCTCCGACCGCGGCGCGGCCCCCCGCGCCGCTGCGACCGAGAACTGCTCCCCGCTCTCGCCGCTCCGAGCGCTGGCGGCGTCGTCGATCCACCACGTTCGGCCACGCGCAGAGGGGGTTCCGCGGAGGGGGGAACGCTTCCCTGAGAGGCGCCCCTGCTTCCTAGAAGGCGCGGGCCTCGTCTGCAGATGTAGGGCTGGCGCCTTCCAAGGAGTGGCCTCCTCCGAAGAAGCCCTCCCCCCTCCCCCCTCCCCCGGCCCCCTCTGCGGGCCGCCGAAGAGCGCCCCTCCGCCAGAGTGTGACCTCTGGTGTGCTTCTCTCGGGGGGGGGGGGGGGCGCGGGGGCGCCCAGGCCCGAGCTCGCAGGCCGCCTTCCAAGAAGCAGCCTCCTTCTAAGAAGCCTTCCCCCTCCTCCTACAGTGGGGACCCATGCCACAAGAACATCTTGCTCGCCTCCAGGGCGCCCTGGGCTTTCTGGGTCTCGATGGCCTTGCGATGGCAGGCGTGGCGCTCCCGCGCCAAACAATCAAGGGAAATCCTGGGGTCTCAGGATTGGGCTTCTTGTGGCAGGTCTCTTGTGGTCGGGCCCCTAAGTGTTCCGAGCATGTTCTTTGGGTGGAACACAAAGGGTTAAATCTGAGATGCCATTTCGATGGATGTTCCAGGCTTGAAGCTGCAAAAGGTGAACCACAAGACGGATTGGTTTTGAAGGTGCAGAAGCCCAGATGGATCTCTTGCTGAGCCCTCCACCCAGAGAAAATGCTCAGTTGCCCTCTCCAGCCTTCCACCCTGAGCCATCCGCCGGCAGGTCTCTTGTGGTCGGGCCCCCCTCGCCCCCCCTCCTCCTTCTCCTCCTCCTCCTCCTCCTCCTCCTCCTCCTCCTCCTCCTCCTCCTCCCTCCTCCTCCTTCCTCTTCCTCCTCCTCTTTCCCTCCTCCTCCTCCTCCTCCTCTCCTCCTCCTCCTCCTCCTCCCTCCTCCTCCTCCTCCTCTCCTCCTCCCTCCTCCTCCTCCTCCTCCTCCTCCTCATCCTCCTCCTCCTCCTCCTCCTCCTCCTCCTCCATGTGCGCGCCGCCAGCGCGTCCCCGCGCGCAGACGGCGCGGCACTGCTCCCCGGGGCGTTGGCATCGCCTCGCGGCGCCGGCGGCCGCTCGGGGGCACGCGCTCGGGCCCGGGCTCCATTTGGGGCGGAGGGCGGCCAGCTCGGCCCGAGCGACGTCTTCCGCGACGGGCTTTTTTGTATCCTGATGGACCTGTTTTCCACCACCACCACCACCACCACCATAAATTGGAGGGGGGAAGGAGGTGGAGGACGAGGAGGAGGAGGACGAGGAGGAGGAGGAGGACGAGGAGGAGGAGGAGGAAGACGAGGAGGAGGAGGAGGAGGACCCCTCCCCCTCCAACTTATGGTGGTGGTGGTGGTGGTGGTGGTGGAAAACAGGCCCATCAGTCCAGGCTCCACGTTTTTTGGGGGGTTGGTTTTGTATGCATGCTGGGTTTTCGCATCTGTTGCTGATTGATGTTGCTCTGTGGTTTATGCGTTTATATTGCTTCCATTCTTTATTTTTTGTGAGTTCATCCACCGGAGCGCTCTTCTGGACGAACCTGTCCAGAAGAGGCTGTCCGGATGAACTCGCCCAGTTGAGCTCGTCTGCGGGTGACCTCGTCGCAGGATGGGCTCGTCTTCGGCTGGACTCGTCTTCGGAGGAGCTCGTCCAGAGGAAGTTGTCGGGAAGAGCTCGTCTAGATAAACTCGTCTCGGATTAGCTCGTCCAGACGAGATGGGCTCGGATGGGACGGTGGGCTTCTGGGGCAACGCCAGGGGGGGATGGGCTCACGAGGGGAAGGCGCCGGCCTCCAATCGCCCTCTCATCGCCGGCAGGGCCCGGCAGCCCAACCCCTGAGGCTTTTCCTTACGGCCAGTCGGCGAGGCGCAGCATTGGATCGTCGTTTGTTCTTCCCCCTCCCTCTCTCTTTTTTCGCTTTCTTTCGCTCATTCTTTCGTTCTCTCTCTCTCTCTCTCTTTTCACGGTGGGGGCGTTGGTTAAAGAATGCGCCCAGGAGGACGTTTTACACGCTCCGGGGGTCCCCATGAGAGGGCGGCAGTGGTGTCCATGGCCAAGCCTCAATTGGTGCCTCACTGGCTTCCAGACCCTGCGCTCCTTACGCAGCGGTCCCCTGTCCGATGCCCCCACCGCATCTCCTCCTCCTCCTCGTCCTCCTCCTCCTCCTCCTCGTCCTCCTCCTCCTCCTCCTCCTCCTCCCCGCCTGCTCTCGAGTGCCAGGCGTCCTCGTCCACGCCGGCGGCACCACCGTGCGCCGGCGGCGACGCCGCCTCCCCGGCAGCCTCGCCGCTGCAGGGCGCGGCGGCGCACCTGGCGGCAGAGGCCCCCCGTCCCGTGCGGTGCGCCGCGCCGGTGCTTCAGAGGCAGGTTCCAGGCCCCTTCGCGCTGCGAAGACGTCGCGACGTTTTTTTGTTTTTTTTCTTTTTTATGTTTCTGGCTTTCTTTTTCTTCAGCCTGTTGGGGCCTTCGCTGGGCCCTGGGGCTGTCAAAAAACGGCCTGGGATGGAAAGCCTGGCTCTAGGCCTCCTATGTGGGGTCGGAGTAGATGGGGTGGGAGGATCGCGCCGCATCGCCGATGCATCGCCGATGCGGCTCGATGTGGAGCCCGATTTGCTTCACGTCGGCGTCGCCGATGCATCGCCGACACCGACAGCGCACCGCCAGTGCCTCGACGATGCATCGCCGATATATCGCCGATGCGCAATCCTCCGACCCCATCTACTCCGACCCCATCTCGGAGGCCTCTACTGTCGCAGGGGCAACAAGGTCCAGACCTTCGGGGGCCCACGACGACGCAACAAATCACGGCGTCGGAGAGCTCTGCGCGTCCAGCTCGTCCAGTCCATGCAGCCTCGTGCTGCTCCAGCCCACTGTGCTCTGGAGGCCGCGCGCGCGAGCGAGACACGCGTGCTGCCTGGCTGGCGGGGGGGGCAGTTCAGCTCTGGTGTTAAGTCGGGCCTGTCCCTCTACAGGGGGAATGTGCAAACATAGTCAAATAAAAGTCTGGGGACGATCTTTTGACAATTTTTCCAATACTTTTCGGGCATGTTTGGAGTATTGTTTTTGTCCCAAATCCGCCTGTAGGGGGACATGCCCGACCTAAATCTGATGAATCTGGATCGCTTTGGCGCTGTGTCGGCAGGCCGTGGGTTTGGTCATGTGGTGGGTGGGCTGGGTCCAGGAGTGCTTCATGCAGTGGGCGCACCGGATACGTGAGAACTTGGCTCGCCAGCAGCTGCACCACGGAGATTTCTCATGCCCTCGATGTCCCGAGAAGCCCGCAGGCATCGCAGGGCACCGCAGGAAGCTCAACGATCGACGACAGGTGTGCCCCCCCAGCTGTCTCAGAGCGAGGCTTCTTCGCGCGCGTGCCTGCCAGGAAGATGGACACGCACGACGCCGCCGGCCAGGGCGGGAGCCGGATACACACGTGGCCACGCGTCTCTCCAGTGCTCGGCCCTGGTGTGGACAGGCACGGTGATCCTCCATATGTGAATCCAGCAAGTGGCCTCCAGATGTCCCACATGTGAGCCCAGCAGCGTGCGTGTCAGCTTCCTGGTGCTGTAGCCCGTTTCTCCCTTGCTTCCTCGCGCAGTCCTGAGGACGAGGTGCTTCCAACAATGCAAATTCTCCCTTGGACCCCTTCCTATCAGGACCCCATCCCTCAGGACCCCATCTTTGAATCACCGAGGAAACCGCCGCGAGCCAGCGACAGCGCCAGAACGCCGCGAACCTCGGGCCTGGAGGAGAAGGAGGAGGAGGAGGAGGAGGAGGAGGAGGAGGAGGAGGAGGAGGAGGAGGAGGAGGGAGGAGGAGGAGGAAGAACCTGGCAGCTTGGGTCGGGGCAGCAGCTTCTGCTCGTTTGTGCCCCTGCGGTTGCACTCGCTGCGACCGGCTGCCCCTCGCACCTGGTGCTCGAGCAGGGCCGGAGCAGCACCAGAGGAGGCTCTGAGCACAGAGCGGCCAGGGACCCGAGGTCTCCTGAGTCGTGAGACGATGAAAACCCAGACCCCCTCGGGTAATGAAACAATCATGACGGGAGGTTTTTCGCAATTTTCAGCCTCTGGGGGCCTTCGCCGGGCCTCGGGACCGTTAAAAAACAACTCAGGATGAAAAACCGGTCCAGGGGAATGGGTCGAGACCTCCAGGGGTCGACGTAATGAAAAAATCATGACGTCGGGGGTCTGGGAACAACCACGCGCGATGCTCTACCATTTCGGCCTGGGGGAGGGGCGCTTTCGGGTCCCTCAGAAACTCGGCCCGCGGCGACAGCCGGTCCCAGAGGCGAGTTCGAGGGAGGGCTGCGAGGGACCACTTCGTGAGACAGCCTGGACGTCGGAGGCCGGGGTTCGGTTCTCTCGGCCCCGGGGCGTCGCGGGGAGGGGTCTGCGACCGCGGGGGTCCCAGGGCCTCTGTCGGCGGCGAGCGAGGGGGGGGAGCGAGAAGGAGAAGGCCTTCTCAGCAGGCGGCGGGGCTTCTCAGACGCTCGCTGTGGCTCCGGGGAAGGCTTTGAGGACTTTTCCGAAGGCCGGAGGACTTCCGAGCCTACTGAGAAGGCCCACCCCCGTTCACTTCCTCCCCGGGCTGGCCGCCTCGTCTGGGCGGGGCAGGATCCGACCAGCGGGTCATTGTGCTTCCTGCGCCCTCCCCAAGCTGTAATGGTTGCGCTCTGGGCCCCATCGCCATGGCCAGACACCGCCCAGGAGGCGTGTCGAGCGGGCGATTCGCGAATGTGGGCTCGGGGGAGTTTTTGGTTCCAGTCTTGTTGTTCATCATGGTGCGTGGTCAGGGGGTCAGGGGGAGGTGCCCGCTGCCTCCGGGTCAAGCCTTTGGCGCTCCGTGCCCGACATCGGCCGGGGGGCCCGGCCGCGGCATGTGGCACGAGAATGAGCGGCAATTGGTACGTCGGCCAGAAGGTAGAGTACTGGAGCCCCTCGTACAATGAGTGGATCGAGTGCCAGATCTCGGCCGTGAAGCCCGAGGGCCTGAAGCTGCAGCACCTGGACGGCTCCAACCTCAAGGAGTCGGCCGATCCAAGCAGGGTGCGGCCGAAGGAAGACAAGCCCAAGGCCAGCGCTGCCTCCAGCCCGCCCCCGCTGCCCTCCAGCGGCGCCGCCGCCGCTGGCGGCGGCGCCGCGCGACGGGCCTCGCAGGGCGGCAGGCCGCCCCCGGGCGCCGCTGGCGCGTCGCAGCGCTCCGCCTCGCCCGCCGCCGCCTTGGGCTCGCCGCCGGCCCAGCGCCGGCCGTCCTCCCGCGGCGCCCTCAGCGTCGGAGGCGCGGCGGTGGTCGCCGGCGGCGCTGGAGGCGCGGGGGGGGCGACGAGGTGTGGTGACCACGCCGCGCGGTGGGTCTGCGGGGGTTCGGGGTCGCCACGCGGTTTTGGAACTCGAGGCGTTCTCCGAGGAGGCCTCGGGCGGCTGGGGCCTCCGAGGTCCCAAGACCCTGCGGGGACGAACCGCGCGGTGAGGCCGCTGGGAGTTCCCTGAGATCCAGTATTCGGGAAAATTGAAACTTCGTGAACAATTCACCGCCCACCAAACCACTCCAACCCAACCCGAAGGCCCCGATTTGCCTTCCATTTCCAGTGGGGGGGGGGGCCAGGGAACATTGAAAAAACACATGAAGCCCGTACCCCTCCCCCAACCCGAACTTCGAGCGAAATTCGGGTCTTCGGGTTGGGTCGGGTTGGCCTGGCAGGTGGCCAAAAATCACGACCGGAGCCCTGGAGCCACTTCTCGAGCCGCATCGACCTGTGGGGGCCCTGGGGCCCGACGCTGGGCCCGACGCTGGGCCCGACGCTGGGCGAACATGCGGCCCATGGGACCCCCGAGAGGCGCGGGGTTGCGCCAGCTGTCGCCGGGGCCCGCGGCCAAGGCTGCCGGGCCCGCAGCCGCCGGAGGCGGCTCGGCGCCCTCGTCGGCGCGGGGGCGGCCGCCCGGCGCGGGGCAGCCCGGGCGGCCGCTGCAGCAGGCGCCGGGGCAGCCAGGCGAGGCGCAGGCTAGGGGAAGGAAGAAGGACATGAACATAAAAACTCGGAGGTCCGCGTGGATTTCTCGGATCCGCGCGGGCCTCCGAGTCTTTCTGTTTATGCTATTTTTCCTTCCCCTACAGGCGCTGTACGCGGGCGACCGCGTGCGGCTAAAGGGCGGGCGGCTTGGCCAGGCTCGGCGGCGCCCACAATCCAGGGAGGAAATGCAGCAGCTTCTTTCGTCGCGGCGCGGCGGAGGCAATCCGCTCGCGCGTGCGCCAGCCTCGGGCTGCGGAGGGAGGAAGCAAACACACCCCGAGGAAATCGAAGAGCTCTCAAGCTGTGATTGCGCAGTGCTTGGCTTTTTGTCCGCCTAGCTCCAGGGCGTGTCTCTGGCGACTTCAAGATTCGAGCCTCGGCTCGGCTCGGCGGCGCCCACAATCAGGGGAGGACAAAACACGTCCCGACTCCCACAGCCGGTGTTTGCTAAAACGGCCCTGGGCATTTGCTGAGCAACCCTGTCTTGATCGGTTCCTGCCTGGGGTGTGTTTACTACATGGCTTCGCTTGTCGGGGTGCTTACTGCGAGGGCGGTATCTCTACTCTCTACACGAGGGGGTCGGTGGCACGAGGGGGGCAGGCTTCTAAGAATCTAGGCCTCGAAAGTGGTGTCCAAGCAGATGGGGTCGCTGGATCGCGCCGCATCGCCGATGCATCGGGGATGCAACTCGATGTGGAGCTTGACTTTTTCCACGCCCGCGTCGCCGATGTGTCGCCGACGTCGCCGACGCATCGGCGATGCATCGGCGATGCGGCGCGATCCTTCGACCCCATCTACTCGGACACCATTTGGGATGCATCTAAGGAATGCAGCTGGGCCTCGTAGAAGGCAGGGGGTCGGGAGGCTTCTTGGAAACCCGCCCGGCTTCTCGAGAAGCCTTCTAAGAAGGCCCTGTGTCTTCCAAGAAGCTCCTCCGCCTGCTTCGAACGTTTGCCCCCCTCGCGCAGCCCCCGGTGTGGGCGCCGCCAACAGGTCATGTACGTTGGGCCGGCCAACTTTGCAGGCGGCAGCGTCGTTGTCGGCATTAAGTTGGACGACAGGAAGCCTGGCTCTGACTGCGACGGGAAGGTCCAGGGTGAGCGCTACTTCCGCTGCAGCGCCGGGCTGGGGACGTACGAGCCCAGGGGCGAGGTCGAGCTGGTGCCGCCCGAGCTCGCGGACGATGACGTCAGGCAGCTTGCGTTTGTGCAGGCTCCCGATGCAGAATCCTTCGACTTGGAGACAGAATTGCAGCAGCTGGCAGGTCTCAAGGAGGTAGTCCAGGATCCAACGAGACACATTTACATCAGCTTCCAGAGGTCCGCGCGGATTTCTTGGGTCGGCGCTGGGCCCCCAACTCCCTCACCCCTGGCTCCGGCGCCGACCGCGCGGATCTCCGGAAGGAAACGCTTGTGCAGTTTTGCTGGGCTGCGCAAGGTAAAGGACAGCATCAAACACATCCGCAACTTCGTCGAGGTCCAGCGCAGGCGCAGCAACGTTGTTGGCGGCGGCAGCTTCGGCAAGGCGCTGCACTTCGCGCTCGCCGAGGGCTCCTCTGGCTGCGGCATCACCACGGCGTGTCGGCTCCTCGGCGGCATGCTGCTGAAGCTTGGGGTCCTCAGCAAGGGTCACGTGGTGGAGGCCACCGGGAGGACCGAAGACTTCCACACCCGTGCCCTCGCGTTCTGAACACCGGGGCGCGATCCCGTGGATGCGCGAGCTCGTGGGCATCTTCCGAGCGGGGCGTCCGCGCAAGGCCGCCCGGTGCCCATGCAGTCGGCCTTGAGTAGGAGCTCGACCCTGCCAGTCAAGGGTACCCCTGGGGCCTGTCTTTGGAGGCCCGTGCCTTTTACAGTCCCGTGGCAATGGGGCCCTCGGAAGGGTCTTGTGCCCTCGCGCGTGTCCTCTCCATCTCCAGTCAAGCCCGACGTGAAGGCCGCGGCCGTGGATCTGTCATGCTGGCCTCGTGTAGGAACGACCCTTCGCCAGAGTGCCTTCGCTGGTGCGCCGGCTGTCGGAGGGCGCGGGGAGGCCAGACCCCGGCACGCAGGCCAGCACCGTCGCACCGCGCGAAGCGATCGGCACGCCTCGCACCCCGAGGCCACTCTTGCCCAGGGCCACTTCCGCGCGGATCCGATCGTGGATGCGGTCGGGAACTCTGGCTTCGCGTGTCGCGCCGCCGGCTCTGGCCCACCACGCTTCGGCGCGGCACGCGAACCGCGCCCCGTTCCCTGGGCGTCAACGATCCCAGCCTCTCTCAGCCTTCAGCCCCGCGGAGCGGGGCTACACGCTGTACGCTTGCAAGGCGTAGCCTGTCTTCGGGGCTGCCGCCGCGATTGTGTGCTTCCGGCCCCTCGGTCCTTCCCCGGAGGAGGAGGAGGAGGAGGAGGAGGAGGAGGAGGAGGAGGAGGAGGAGGAGGAGGAGGAGGAGGAGGAGGAGGAGCTGGAGGAGGAGGAGGAGGAGGAGGAGCAGGGGCTGGGAAGGTCACCAAGAGGGACCTCCTCACGGGCGCGAGCAGCAGTGAGGTGGAGCCGAGGCTCAAGAAGATGGTGGCGGCGGCCAGCGGGGGCGTGCTGCTCCTGCGGGAGGTGGACGCGCTGGGCGACGTCGGCGATCGGCACGCCCAGGAGGCGCTGCAGGCCATCTGCAGGCTCTTCGAGGACCCGTCGGGCCAGGCCGCGTGGCCGCAGCCGGTGTGCGTCGCGCTCGCAGGAAGACCCTGCGGAAAGGGGTCCTGAGGTTTTTCTGTCGTCTTCCGCCTCCCAGGGCCCGTCTCTGAGACCCGAGACGCGACTCGGGATGAAGGGCTGCTCCTGGGGAAGGCCCCCTGGGTTGAGGATCACCACGTGGGCGACGCAAGATAACGGGGTCGACTGCGACGACATTCGCGTTTAATCTTCCCGAGAAAGGTCATTCGTAAGCGCTCTCTTGTCCACGCGTTGTTTCACGCTTGCGGCCCGCGTAAGCCGCGGCGTAAGGTCGCTGTGTCATCAAGGCCACTTTTATTGTCGTCGCCCATGTGGAAGGACGGGGGTCCTGAGGTCACCGTTTTCGGCCTCCCGGGGCCTTATCTGAGCCCTCAAGGGGAGATTGTTTGGGATGAAGGGCTGGTCCTGCGGAAGACCCTCTTGGTCACGACCCACCAAAGCACCCCCCAACCCGAAGGCCCCAAGTTGCCCTCCATTCTTAGTGCGGGGGGCGACCTGGAACCTTGCAAAACACAGACGTAACCCGTAGGCCCCCCACCCGAAATGTGGGTCTTCGGGTTGGATTTGGGTGGTCTGGTACGCAGCCACTTGGGTCCAGGACTCGTTTCCCTCAAGACCTCTTCCCCCGTGGCACAGGGAAGCGCAGCGAGCTCCAGAAGTGTTTTTCCGACCAGCCGCCACTGGCGGAGGCAGTCTATGCACGCCTGGACTTCGTCGATCTCACCCCCGACGAGGTCGCCCTCGTGCTGCGAAAGCTTGTGCGAGAGAGCAAGTTCCAGCTCTCCGAGGAGTTGTCTTCCGATGACAGACTGTCTGCGCTCGTGCGCCGGCGCGCGCTTGTCCACGGCGGCGCAGCGGCGCCGAAGAACACGCGCCTGGCCCGTGCCATGCTCGAGGAGGCGATGGCGCGGCACACCGACCGCGTCTATGCGGCGGGGATCATGACGTACGAAGGGCTGACCACCCTCTGCGAGGACGACTTCGAGGACCGGAGCAGCGGGGAGAACGAGGCCGCCCAGGCGGCCCTCAAGAAGCTGGGCGGCATCGTGGGCCTGAAGCCCGTGAAGGAGTTCGTGCACTCGCTCCACGCCCAGCTGCAGCTGCAGCAGCAGAAGCGGGAGCTCGGCATCGCTATGAACGGCGCCTCGTCCACGCTCCACATGGTCTTCACTGGGAACCCTGGCACCGGCAAGACTACCATAGCGAGGGTGGTGGCAGATCTGTTGCGGGCGCTCGGGCTGCTGCGCACCGGGCACCTCGTCGAAGCAGACCGCTCTGCACTCGTGGCAGGCCCCGAAGAAGCAGATGAGGGTGAAGTGAGACAACGGTAGTTGGTCTTCGGGGGGCGGCCCTCGTCGCCACGGCTGGACGCAGCTCGGATAACCAGTGCGTTTGGACCCTGGGAGGGGACCGATTGAGAGCTGCCGTTGTCTTAACTCGCCTTGTCCAGAAAGAGGAGCAAGCTGCATCAACACAAGCTTTCGGAGGCCCGCGCGGATTTCTTGGATCTGCACTGCGCTTACCCCCCAGCGCCATCGGCGCCTCTGGTGCCGCCCCTGGCGTGCTCTGTGCTCCAGGGAGGGGGGCCAAGCGTCGATCTCGGCACCCCGCGCGTACCTTCGATCGTTTGTTTCACCACCCTCTGGCGTGTTAGGTTCTCGTTTCTAATAGAGCACTGCGGACGCACACCTCCTCCGCCTCCTCCTCCTCCTCCTCTTCCTGGGGGTGGAGTTGGGGTGGAGTTGGGGTGGAGTTTGGCTGGTGGACTGGGGCGGGGTGAGGGAAGCATTGAAGCCCCTGCCTCTCGCTTTGACGTCTGCCGCATTAAAGATGTGGCTGGGAGGTTGGACGACCACTCGCCGAATAGTCCTTCCAGTAGACACCTGCATCTGGCGCTGCGTGTGTGTGTGTGTGTGTGTGTGTGTGTGTGTGATGACCCCGTGTCGCAATACCTCCTGGACCGTCGGCCGCGGAGGCCCTTGTCAGGACTGCGCTTTCCAGGGACGTGCCTGGGGCCACCTGGCTCCGACTCGGGATCCGTCCTGGGACTGATGGAGTTTACGATTGCAGTTTTGTCGTGGCGTATTTTTTATGCCCATCGCCCCGCCTCGCAATTCCTATTGCTCGAGTTCGGCCGTCTACAGTGCGTGCTGCATTGCGATTGCCGCTGATTGGCCCTCACACAATTATTGCGAAGGCCTTACGGCCAGTGCCGCCGACCCTGAGAACGACGAAGATGAAAACGAGGGGGGCAGGGGGAGGAGGACGAGTGGGAGGTGGAGGAGGTGTGGGGGAGGTGGATGAGGGAGGAGGAGGGGGGAGAAGGATGTGGAGGAGAAGCAAGAGGAGGAGAAGGAGGCAGAGGAGAGCAGGAGGAGGGGGAGCAGAGGGGGGGGGAGGAGGAGGAGGAGGAGGAGGAGGAGGAGGAGGAGGAGGAGGAGGAGGAGGAGGAGGAGGAGGAGGAGGAGGAGGAGGAGGAGGAGGAGGAGGAGGAGGAGGAGGAGGAGGAAGAGGAAGAGGCCAGAGGCTTTCTTGGGACAGCCTGGGGTTCTCCTGAGGCCGTCTTGGGCCGTCCAGGGCTCCTCTTGCGCCGTCTCGAGGCACTCTTGGAGGCCTCCTGGGCAATCTGGGGCTCTCCCGGGCTGTCTTGGGGCAATCTTGGGGGCCTCTTGGGCCGTCTTGGAGGCGTATTGTGCCGTCTTGGGGCCCTCTTCGGCCGTTAGGGGACCCTCTTGGGGGCCTCTTGGGCCGTCTCGGGGCGATCTTGGGGGCCTCTTGGGCCGTCTTGGCGCGTCGGGAAGCGGAAGAGGCAAGAACGCCACAATCTGTTAAAAACGTATGGGTAATCCATGAATTTTGCCTTTGGGGGCTCTCGTGGGAAAGCTCCTGGAGGCCTCTTGGGGCGCTTTGCAGGCCTCTTGTGCCGTCTGGAGGCCGTCAAGGCGTCTTGGAAAGATCGTTCGGCGATTCGGGGTTCTCTTGGACTGTCTTTGGGGCCTCTAGGGGCACTCTTGGCCCGTCTTGGGACTTTTTTGGGCTCCGGGACTCCGCGGGGGAGCGTCGTATCTGACCCCCCCCCCCCGGGACCCCCCCCCCCTGGCGGAGAAGGGATCGACGGGAAGGGGCTTCCCTTCGACTCAATTACGACATTGCTCAACTTCGCTTTGGTTGGCGCGCTCAGGAGGTCCCTGGAAAAGGGGGGAGCTTCGACGAGCCCAGGGGAAGGGGGAGGCAGGGAAAGGGGACGACAGAGACGACGACCAACGAATGACGGAGATGACGACTTGAACGGACAAGCCCCTCACACACGCCGACAGGGTCGGCGGATTTGGGCTCAGCGATGGGCGGGCGCGAAGTGGATGACGCCTCTGGGTACGCTGGACCTCCTCCTCCTCCTCCTCCTCCTCCTCCTCCGCCTCCTCCTCCTCCTCCGCCTCCTCCGCCTCCTCCTCCTCCTCCTCCTCCTCCTGCCTCCAGCGCTGCTCCTGCGCTGCTCCCTGGGTGGCTGCGAACTGCGCAACTGGCGCCACTTTCGTGGGCTCCTGGGAGGCACGGCGGAGTAGCGGAGTACGCGCATCCAGCCGAGACTTCGCTGCTCCCTGGGTGTCTGCGAACTGCGGAACTGGCGCCACTTTCGTGGGCTCTTGGGAGGCACGACGGAGTAGCGGTGTACACGCATCCAGCCGAGACCTCGCAGTTCTCTGGATGACTGCGACCTGCGCAATTGTCGCCACGCTCCTGGGCTCCTGGGAGGCACGGCGGAGTAGCGGCATGCGCACACCCAGTCGAGACCCGTCAGCTCGCTGGGTGGCTGCGACCTGCGCAACTGTCGCCACTTTCGTGGGCTCCTGGGAGGCACGGCGGAGTAGCGGCGTGCGCGCATCCAGCTGAGACCTCTCAGCTCGCTGGGTGGCTGCGACCTGCACAAAGGTCGCTTCTTTCGTGGGCTCCTGGAGGGCACGGCGGAGTAACGGAGTACGCACATCCAGCTGAGACCTCGCCCTGCCTTGGGTGGTTGCGAACTGCGCAACTGTCGTGGGCTCCTGGGAGGCAGGGCGGAGTTTCGGAGTACGCGCATCCAGCCGAGACCTCGCAGCTCGCTGGGTCTCTTCGAAGTGCGCAGTTGTCGCCACTTTCGTTGGCTCTTGAGAGGCACGGCTGCGTAGCTGAGTGCGCGCATCCAGCAGGGTTTTCGCAGTTCCCTGGATGGCTGCGACTTGTACATTTGTCGTTACTGTCGTGGGCTCCTGGGACGGCGGAGTCGCGGAGTACGCGCACCCAGTCGAGACCTCGCAGTTCCCTGGTGGGTTGCGACCTGGGCACCTGTCGCCACGTTCGTGGGCTCCTGGGAGGGCAGGGCGGAGTAGCGGCGTGCGCGCATCCAGCCGAGACTTCGCAGCACTCTGAGTGTCTGCGGACTGCGCAACTCTCACCGCTTTGTTGGGCTCTTGAGAGGCACGGCGGAATAGCGGAGTACGCGGACCCAGACGGGACCTCGCAGCTCCTTGTGGAATTGCGACCTGCGCAACTTGCGCCACTTTCGTGGGCTCTCAGGAGGCACGGCGGAGTAGCGGAGAACCCGTATCCAAACGGGGCCCCGTTGCTCCGTGGGTAGATGCGAATTATGCAATTGTTGCCACTTTTGTGGGCTCAGTCGTCAGTGCGCGGACCCATGTGAGGCTTCGCTGCCCCCTGGAAGGCTGCGAACTTCGCGAAGGCAAATGTGAGGTCCAGCGGAGTCACGGAGTACGCGCACCCACCTGGGAGGTCCAGCGCAGTCGGGGGCCACGCGCATTCATTTGAGACCTCGCTGCTTCCTGGGAGGCTGCGAACTGCGCAACTGTCGTTTGCCTCCTGGGCAAATTGGAGGTCCAGCGGAGTCGGGGACCACGCGCATCCAGACGGGACGTCTGCTCCGTGGGTGGTTGCGAATTGCGCAACTGGCACCACTTCCGTGGGCTCCTGGGAGGTCCAGTGGAGTCGGGGGCCACGCGCGCCGCGCGCCCATTTGAGACCTCGCTGCTCCCTGGTCTGCTGCGAACTGCGCAACTGGCACCACTTTCCCGTGGGAGGCTACGAAGTGCGCAATTATCGCCACGTTCGTAGGCTCGAGGAAGGCGCGGCGGAGGTGAGTGCAGCGCAGATCGTGCATGTCTGGCGGTGTGCTCTTGTGCATGGAGCGTCCACGCAACCATTCGCCTCGCGTGGAGAAGATGTTGGGCACGTCTCGGGTAATTCTATGCTGTTTTGTTATCGAAGACGCCTACGGCGAATCACCGCCGCCCCCTGCCTTTTTGGAAACGCCGATGTGGCCGAAAGTTGGACTAGAGCTTGGCCAAGCTATCGGACCATGAGTTCCCCGAGTCGGTTTGGAAAGCTTTCGGGGAACACATGGGAGAGAATGATTATGAACAGGAAGAGGAAGAGGAAGAAATAGAGTAGGAGGATGAGGGTTGTTAGGAGTCTCTTGGGGCACCCTTGGGGTCTGTTGGGGGCTTCTTGGGGGCCTCTTCGAGGCCTCTTGGAGGCATCTTGGGGGCCTCCTTGGGCCTCTTGGGGGCCTTTGGGGGCTTCCTGGGGGTCTCTTTGGCCGTCTTAGGGCGTTCCTGGTCCGTCTGACGCCGTCTGGAGCCGTCTTGGGGGCCTCTCTGGGCCGTCTTGGGGCCCTCTTGGGGCGCTTCAGGGCCGTCTTGGAGGCCATGTTGGGCGTCTTGGAGGCCTCTTGGGCCGTCTTGGGGCGCTCTTGGGGCCGTCTTGGGGGGCCCTTGGGCCGTCATAGGGCCTTCTTGGAGGCCTCTTGGGCGATCTTGGGGGCCTCTTGGGCCGTCGGAAGGCCGAAAAGAAGAAAACGCAAAAAACCTTCAAAAACCTAAGGAAAACCAATGATTTTGGCCTCTTCGGGCTCTCCTGGAGAACGTCTTGGAGGCCTCTTGGGCCATCTTGGAGGCATCTTGGGGCCATCTTGGCCGTCTTGGAGGGCATCTTGGGCCGTCTTGGAGGCATCTTGGAGCCATCTTACCCGTCTTGGAGGCCATCTTGGCCGTCTGGGAGGCATCTTGGAGGCCATCTTGGGCCATCTTGGCCGTCTTGGAGGCCATCTTGGGCCAAGTTGGGGCAACAAAGGCATTGACAGACGGATTTTGGGAAAATTACGGGTGGCCGGCGGGACGGGCCGAAGCCCACTGGGGAGTTCTTTTAGAAAAAGGAACCAAAACCAAAACCTGAAACGTCCAGCACGCCGTGCACCCCTGCAAGGCAGGGGGCGGCGGATCGAAGACGCCTACGGCGAATCACCGCCGCCCCCTGCCTTTTTGGAAGCGCCTATGTGGCCGAACGTTGAGGCCAGACCTGCCAAGCTATCGGACCACGTGTTCCCCGAATCGGTTTGGAAAGCCTTCGGGGAACACGTGGGCATCTTGAAGGTCATCTTGGCCGTCTTGGAGGCCTCTTGGGCAAGCTTTGGGCGATCTTTGGGGCTTTTTGGGCCGTCTCGGGCCAGCTTCGAGCCAACTTCGGCCATCTTGGTGGGTTCCTGGCACGTCTGAAGCCGTCGGAAGCCGTTTGGGGGGCCTCTATGGGCCGACTTGGGGCCCGCTTGGAATGCTCCAGGGCCGTCTTGGAGGCCATCTTGGGCGTCTTGGAGGCCATCTTGGGCGTGTTGGAGGCCTCTTGGGCCCTCTTGGGGCCCTCTAGGGGCCATCTTGGAGGCCACTTGGGCCATCATGGGGCTCTCTTGGGGGCCTCTTGGGCGATCTTGGGGGCTTCTTGGGCCGTCTTGAGCCGTCGGAGAGCCGAAAAGGCGCAAATGCCAAAATCCTTCAAAAACCAAGGGAAAATCAATGATTTTGGCCTCTTCGGACTCTCCTGGAGGACCTCTTGGAGGCCTCTTGGGCCGTCTGGGAGGCCTCTGGGGGGCCTCTTGGGCCGTCTTGGGCCGTCTTGGACTCTCTTGGGCCGTTTTGGAGGCCGTCTTGGACCATCTCGGGCGGACTTGGAGGCCATCTTGGGCCATCTTCGCGATTTTTTGAGGATGTCCCGAGCGAAACGGCCGTTTTTGGGCATTGACAGACGCATTTTGGGAAACGCGCGGGTGGCCGGCGGGACGGGCCGAAGCCCACTGGGGAGTTCTTTTAGAAAAAGAACAAAAACCAAAACTGAATCATCCAGCACGCCGTGCACCCCTGCAAGCAGGGGGCGGCGGATCTAGTGGCCTTCGGCCCATCCCGCCACCATGCCTTGGTTGTGGGTTCGAGTTCTCAGGGATGCCTCTCAGGGCGCTCTCGGAGGCCTCTTGAGAGCAGTTGTGGGGCTTCTTGGGGGCCTCTTGGGGCCTCTTGGGAGACTCTAGGGGGCCTCCTGCGGACGCCTCGGGCCCGATGGCTCGAACACGTCCTTTCGGGTCCTCCATCTGGGCCCCCTCTTGGAGCCGTCTTTGTGCCTCCTGGGCCGTCTTGGGCGACTTGGGCGGTCTTGGGCCGCTCGGGGGCCCTTTTTCAGGCCTCTTGGGCCGTGGGGGCCTCTAGGGCCGTCTGGGAGCGTCAAGCAATGGAACCGGCAAGAACGCTCCAAACCTTCAAAACACAAGGACAAATCAGTGATTTGGGCCTCGTGGGGCCCGAGGTCTCTTGGAGGCCTTTTGGGGCGTCTTGGAGGCCTCTTGAGCCGTCTGAAGGCCATCTTGAGCGCCTTGGGGCCTCTTGGGGCCCTCTTGGCCCGTGTTGGACCCCCCTTGTCCCGAACAAATCACGCGGGGAGCCGCGAGGAGCCCGAGGAGAAGCGCGCCTAGCCCAAGGAGATTCGTGGCTTTGGGGTCCTGGCCCCGCAAGAACCTTTCGGATCGAGGGTTGCGGCTCAGGGGATTGGGCAGCGGACCTGAGGACACGCCCACTTCGTGCCATCGGCACGGTGGCGGATTCTTCCGAGGCTACAGTGGGCAAACGGCGATCAAGACCAAGGCCGTTGTCGAGAGCGCGCTCGGCGGCGTTCTCTTTGTCGACGAGGCCTACGCTCTGATCGGGGACGAGGGCAAGGACTCGTTCGGCCGCGAGGCACTGGACACTCTCATCAAGCTGGTCGAGGACTTCCGCTCCGACCTGGTGGTGATCTTGGCCGGGTACAGCGCAGAGATGGACATCCAAGGGCCAGACAATCAGCGGTGGGCCACTTGAGGCAACGGTAGTTGGACTTCTGGGGCCCCCTCGTCGCCACGGCCGGACGCAGCTCGGAAAACTTCTGCGTTCGGACCCCAGGGTGTCCGGGGACCGGTTCGGAGCTGCCGTTGTCTTAGCTCGTCCTGCTCCGAGACAAGAACAATAACAAGCAGGCAAGAGCGACACACCGCCAGAGCATTCTTCCCTCCTTCCCCCCCTCTGAGAGGGAGGAGGGGAAGAACACGGTGGAAGATGCAAGGGTGTGTGTGTGTGTGTGTGTGTGTGTGTGAAACTGTTCGTGGGGGGCATACGGCCAGGAACTTCGGCTCAGCGTGTCGCGAAGCCGGTTCTGGCCCACCACGCCTCGACGCGGCACGCTGTCCATGTCCCAGCCCCCAGCGTCAGCGTCCCTCGAGTTTGTACACGCTCGAGATCGTAAAGTAACCATGTGCTACGACATCTGAGCTTCGGCGCTCCGGCGCCCCCGACGAGCTCTCGGAGGGCCGCCCCCCGGGGCGCACATCGGCGCCTGTCCTGTCCTGTCTAAGCGTCAGCGTCCCGATCTCTTCCTGGACCCCCGCCCCGCCGAGCGGAGCGACGCGCTGTCCACTCGCACGGCCTGCAGCGTGTCACGCGGAGCCAGGGCTCCTGGCCGCGGTATTAGCTATGGCCCCTGCAGGACAAGCTCCTGGAGACGAACCCGGGGCTGCGGAGCAGGTTCTCAGAGCAGGAAACGGCACCCATACCTCTACCCTTCCCTGGTTCTCCCCTTTTTGGGCCTCCTGGGCGGCCCTCGTCGCCACCGCTGGAGTCGCCTCGAAGTCCTGGTCAGAACGCATCCCGGGAGAGGCCTGGGGAGTAGCGGTATCGGTACCTTTTGGTATCCCCAGGTTCCCCACGCTGCTGGAGTTCGACGACTACAGCGGGGAGGAGCTCCTGGAGATCGCCGAGCAGATGCTCCGGCAGGACGTGCTGGTCCTGTCCGAGAGCGCCGCGCAGAGGCTCAGGTCCGTGCTGCAGGTGGCAGCTTCTCATCTCGTGCTCGGCAGCGAGCCCATGGGCTTGCCAGCCTGAAGCCGATTCCCATCCCTATGATTGGCGTCACCATATATCGATTCCGATCGGAAGGATTCCTTCAGCTTCTGAGGGCGCATTTCTAACATTGCCATCGCCTTCTCGGCCTGTCAACCTTGGGGATATGGATACGCTCGAGGCTGGTTAAGCGGGGGAAGGTGGGAGGGGACAGGGCTTCTCTCAGAGGGCGGTGCAGAAGGCCAGAGGGTTCCTTAGAAGGCCTGTCCGCTCTCGCTTCCCCCCCTGGGCTCGCCGCCGACGTGCCGCCCGGGATCCTCCCGATCCTGTGCGTCCCAGGACGTCGCGTGCACCGAGAAACAATCAGTGGCATAAGCAGAAGGTTTAGACAGCCAGGACCCCAACCAGGAAGTTATTGCACTGTGATTGTGTGAGCTACGATGGGGGCGTTGATTAAGGAATATGCCCAGGAGGCCTCAGTCCCTCGAGGATTCCTTATCTGATGAGGGCGGCGGTGGGATCCGTGGCCAATCCACGATGGAGTTCCACTGGCTTCCAGACCTCGGGTCCTCTATCCAAGGGTTCCCTGTCCAGTGCCCTCATCGTAAGCTATGTGGTGCAAGCCGTGTGGTACAAGCTATGCGGTACAGCATACGTGGTGTGGGCAACAGGCGGCCACGAGGCGGCCACGGAAGGTACCGTTGCGGCAACTCGCTGGACCCGCCCAGCGCACGAGGCGGCCACAGGCGGCCACGGGCCGCAACGTGGGAACATCCTTGCCGGACCCGCTCAGCGCACGAGGCGGCCACGAGGCGGCCACGGGCGGCAACGTGGCGAAGTCCTCGCTGGACCCATCCAGTTCCTTAAACCCCGCAGTGCAAGCACTGCTTGGGGAACTTTCGGAGCTCCGCGCGGGTTTCTTGCATCGGCGCTGGGCCACCCTGGCGACGCCTGCGGCGCCGCCCCCAGCGCACTCCTTGTGCGCCGGGGAGGAGGAAGGGACAGCGCAAATCCAGCAAGTCCGCGCGGACCTCCTAGACATTGTTGTATGCCGCTGACTCTCCTCCTCCTCCTCCTCCTCTTCCTCCTCCTCCTCCTCCTTCTCCATCTACTCCTCCTCCCTCTCCTCCTCCTCCTCCTCCTCCTCCTCCTCCTCCTCCTCCTCCTCCTCCTCCATCTCCTCCTCGTTCTCCTGCTCGTCCTCTTCTTCTTCTGATGCCGGAGGTCCCGGAGGTCCCCAGAGGCCTCGGGAGGCTTCCGACGGCCCGAAAAGGGCCCAGAGGAGCGTGATGCACAGAAGGCTTGCCGACAACGTCCAAGCACCTCCCTTCCTCGAACCTCGAGGGTCGAGGGCGGGCGCAACTTGGCGCCGGGAGCCAGCTGAATCCCAGACAGGTTGCCACCTCTTGGGGAGGCATCCTTGGCGTCCGCCGGCGGAGCCGCCCTCGTGTTTTCTGCGCCGGGGGCGGTTGGGATGTCAGTTCCTCGATGGGTTGAAGGCCCTGGCATCGCTCGGACGTGTGCATTTTTCCTTCGGCGAGGACCATCGAGGAGCATCCTTGACCACTTGGCGAAAAAACCACGCACGAAACCGAACAAAAACACACGGAATGGACGTCCGAGCGATGGCGAGAGGCGAGGTCCCAGACATCCTCCGAGATTATTTCCTCAATCCACGGTCGCAGAGATCCCGACCCTCTCCCCGGGGCTAGTTTTTCGACACGGATTCACCTTTGCTGGCTCGGGGGCCCAACAACGGGCCGCAGAGGCCGAACTTCAGGAACCACGCCAGCATTGAAAAAAACACGTCGCCTCTGGGGCCCTTCCTGGAGTGCCCCAGGTGGTGGCCGCGAAGTCCGGGGGGCGCGATGCCCGCGCGGCGGGCAACGGCCGCGCGGTGCGGAACATCCTCGAGAGGGCGAAGCGGAGCCAGGCGGTCCGCCTTCAGCGCCAGGGCGGCAGGCGGACGCAGGAGCCCAGCCGTGCGCAGCCACTTCCCGCCACCGTGCCAGCCCAGCTCTTTGGGTGGCGGCTGTTCGGGGGGGCACGGGAGGCCTTCACGTGTGGCACCTCGGGCCTCCAGGCTTGGGGGAGCCATGATGGGGATGATAATGGTCATGATGGTGATGGTGATGATGATGCTGATGCTGATGCTGATGCTGATGTTGATGCTGCTGCTGCTGATGATGCTGATGAGGACCAGGATGAGGAGGATGATGATGATGATGATGAAGATGATGGTGATGACGATGATGATGACGATGATGAGGATGATGATGGTTATGATGATGATGATGATGATGATGATGTTGTTGGTGATGATGATGGTGATGATGATGGTGTTGATGATGATGCTGATGATGACAATGGTCGTGCTGATGCTGCGGCTGCTGCTGCTGACGATTATGATGATGACGATGATGATGGTGATGGTGATGGTGATGCTGAATGTACTGATGATGCCGATGATGATAAGGATGATGATGCTGGTGATGGTTGATGATGGTGATGCTCATGACGATGAAGATGAAGATGACGATGCCGATGATGATGACGGTGGTGACGATGATCATGGTGGTGATGATGACGATGCTGATCATGCTGCTGCTGCTGATGATGATGATGATGATGATGATGACGGTGGCGATGATTATGATGATGAGGATGATGATGATGCTGATGCTGATGGTGATGATACTGATGGTGATGTTGATGATGATGTTGATGATGTTGATGTTGATGTTGATGCTGATGCTGATGCTTATGCTGATGTTGATGCTGCTGCTGATGATAATGCTGTTTTAGACGTGGGTGAGGAGGATGAGGATGATGATGATGACGATGATAAGGATATGATGATGAGGATGGTGATGATTACGATGATGGTGTTGTTGTTGCTGATGATGATGGTAGAGATCATGATTATGATGATGATGGTGATGATGCTGATGGTGACACTGGACATGCTGATGCTGCGGCTGCTGCTGCTGCTGACGATTATGATTATGATGACGATGCTCATGATGGTGATGGTGATGATGATGATGTTGATTATGATGATGCCGATGATGTGGACGATGAGGATGATGATGATGATGATGGTGATGGTGATGCTCATGACGATGAAGATGACGATGTCGATGATGATGACGGTGATGGTGATGATGATCATGATTTTGATGATGATCATGCTGATGATGATGACTGTGGTGATGACGATGGTGATGCTGATGATACTGATGATATCGATGATTATGATGAGGATGATGACGATGATGATGCTGATGCTGATGGTGATGATGATTCTGATGGTGATGGTGATGATGATGTTGATGCTGATGCTTGTGCTGATGTTGATGCTGCTGCTGATGATGATGCTGACGAGGAGGAGGGTGAGGTGGATGCAGATGATGATGATGATGATGATGATGATGATGATGATGATGATGATGGTGATGACGATGATGATGACGGCGACGAGGATAATGCGGATTTGATGATGAGGGTGATGATGCTGTTGCGGATGATGGTGGTGATGATGATGGTGATGATGATGGTGATGATGATGCTGATGATGACAATGGTCATGCTGATGCCGCGGCTGCTGCTGCTGACGACTATGATGATGATGACGGTGATGATGACGGTGATGGTGATGATGATGATGCTGATGATACTACCGATGATGCTGATGATGAGGATGATGAGGATGCTGATGATGATGATGATGATGATGGTGATGGTAGATGCTGGTCATGCCCATGACGATGAAGATGAAGATGACGATGCCGATGATGATGACGGTGGTGATGATGATCATGGTGGTGATGGTGACGATGCAGATCATGCTGATACTAGTGATGGTGGTGATGACGATGATGGTGCTCACTGTAATGATGATGATGCAGATGCTGATGGTGATACTGTTTGTGATGATGATGACGATGATGATACTGATGGTAATGTTGATGATGATGATGTTGATGCTGATGCTGATTCTGCTGTTGATGCCGGTGCTGATGATGATGCTGTTGAGCACGAGGAGGAGCATGAGGATGACGAGGATGACGATGATGGTGATGACGATAATGATGACGATGATGAGGATCATGATGATTCTGATGATGATGATGGTGATGATGTCGTTGCTGATGATGGTGATGCTGATGATGGTGATGTTGACGCTGATGATGGCAATGCTCATGCTGATTCAGCGGCTGCTGCTGCTGACGATTATGATGATGATGACGATGACGACGATGATGGTGATGGGGATGATGATTGCTGATGAGGATGCTGATGATTATGATGATGGTGTTTGTTAATGATGGTGATGGTGACGATGAAGATGAATATGACGATGCCGCCGATGAAGACGGTGGTGATGATGATCATGGTGGTTATGATGATGATGATGATGATGATCATGCTGATGATGTTGATGCTGATGATGATGATGATGATGACGGTGGTGATGATTATTATGATGGTGATCGTGGTGATGATGCTGCTGTTGATGCTGGTGCTGATAATGAGGAGGATGCTGATGATGATGGTGATGATGATGATCTAGATGCTGATGCTGATGCCGATGCTGATGCTGATGTTGATGCCGCTGCTGATGATGATGCTGACGAGGACGAGGATGAGGAGGATAAGGATCCTGATGATGATGACGATGGAGATGATGACGATGATGACGATGATGAGGATGATGATGATTATGCTGATGATGATGTTGTTGCTGATGGTAATGGTGATGGTGATGGTAATGATGATGATGCTGATGATGACAATGGTCATGCTGATTCAGCGGCTGCTGCTGCTGACGATTCTGATGATGACGATGATGATGATGGTGATGACGATGGTGATGCTCATGACAATCAAGATGAAGATGACGATGTCGATGATGATGACGGTGGTGATGATGATCATGGTGGTGATGGTGACGATGCAGATCATGCTGATGATGATGACGATGCCGGTGGTGGTGGTTATGATGGTAATGCTGATGGTGATGGTGATGATGATGGTACTGTCTGTGATGGTGATGATAATATTGTTGATGCTCATGCTGATGCTGATGCTGATGCTGTTGTTGATGCTCCTGCTGACGATGCTGCTGACGAACACGAGGATGAGGAGGATCATGATGATGATGATGATGATGATGGTGTTGACGATGATGAGGGTGATGATGATTATGATGATGATGATGGTGGTGATGTTGTTGCTGATGGTGATGGTGATGATGGTACTGATGATGGTGATTATGACGATGCTGATGAAGACAATGGCCATGCTGATGCTGCGGCTGCTGCTGCTGATGATTCTGATGATGATGACGATGATATGGTGATGGTGATGCTAATTGTGATGATAATCCTGATGATACTGATGATGCTGATGATGGTAATGATGGTGACAGTTGATGATGGTCATGCTCAGAACGATGAAGATGACGATGCCGATAACGATGACGGTGGTGATGATGATCATGGTGGTGGTGATGATGCCGATGATGATCATGCTGATGGTGATGATGATGACGGTGGTGATGATTCTGCTGATGATGATGATGATGATGCTGATGCTGATGGTTGTGGTGATGATGATGATGATACTGATGGTGTTGGTGATGCTGATGTTGATGCTGCTGCTGATGCTGATGCTGATGTTGATGCTGCTGCTGATGAGGATGCTGACGAGCACGAAGATGATCAGGATGAGGATGATGATGATGATGATGACGGTAATGGTGGCGATGCTGATGACGATGATGATGATGATAATAATGATTCTGATGATGATGGTGAAGGTGTTGTTGCTGATGATGATGGTGTTGCTGATGCTGCGGCTGCTGCTGCTGACGATTATGATGATGATGACGATGATGATGATGATGATGATGATGATGATGATGATGGTGACGGTGATGATGTTTGTGATGATGATGAGGACGATGCTCATGATGCTGATGATGATGGTGGTGGTTGATGATGGTTATTCTCATGACGATGAAGGTGAAGATGCCGATGCCGATGATGATGACGGTGGTGATGATGATAATGTTGGTGATGATGGAGGTGATCATCATGTTTTTGATGATGACAGTGGTGATGATTATGACGATGATGGTGATGATAATGAAGATGGTGATGATGAGGGTTATGTTGATGATGATGGTGCCGATGATGATGATGATGATGATGATGATGATGCCCATGATGGTGATGAGAATGATGACTGTGATAATGACAATGATGAGGATAATAATGATTGTGATGACGATGATGATGACGGTGATGCTGTTGTTGCTGATGATGCTGGTGATGATGATGGTGATGATGATGGTGATGATGATGCATATGATGACAATGGTCATGCTGATGCTGCGCCTGCAGCTTCTCACAAATATGATGATGATGACGATGATGCTTATGGTGATGATGACGTTTCTTGTGATGATGATGGTACTCATGCTCATGATGCTGATGATGATGGTGGTGATGCTCATGACGATGAAGATGACGATACCGATGATGATGATGGTGGTGGTGATGGTAAGGTTCGTGATGATGATGGTGATCATCATGTTCATGCTGATGATGACGGTGTTAATGATTATGATGATGATGATGATGATGAAGATGAAGATGGTGATGATGATGATGGTTATGATGATGCCGATGATGATGATGATTATGATGATGCCCATGATGGTGATGATCTTGATGATGATGATGATGATGTTGATGCTGATGATGATGATTATGATGATGATGATGATGATTTTGATGATGATGACGATGATGATGATGATGATGATGATTATTATTATTATGATGACGACGATGATGATGATGATGCTGATGATGATGATGATGATGATGATGATGATGAGTGCTGCTGCTGCTGCTGCTGCTGCTGATGATGATGATGATGATGATGATGATGATGATGATGATG